ATATGGAGTAATATAATGTAAGGAATATATATAATAACATTAGTTGTGATTATATAGAGAATTATTTAGTCATACGAATTGGTTGAATCATACTACATTCTTTAAAAAAATACACCATGTCGAGTTCAGAAGTTGTGAGGAAAATGTTAATGGGCTTGCTGGCCTGGTATGAGAGACTTGGGCCCCATAAAGTGCCAATCCGTATGTATTTGGGGCCCATAGAAAAACTAAATTGGACCGATGACATCTTAGCGCGGCCCAGCTATGAATATCAGAAAAGCCCAATTTCTTTGAATTAGTACCAAGCCTAACCCGAGTCCAGAGTCTTCACCTCTTCTTCTCTGACCAAAAACCCTATCAAAACCCCAGTGTACATTGTTGCAGAAGCTTAGCTTAGAACCATGGCCATTTCCACTGGTTTCGCATTTTCTTGTCGTCCGCATTTTCCTCTGTCGCAGAGCATGCGAAAGGTGCCTCCTTTGTTCTTGTATTGTACATGAAGAGACACATGGATTATTCATTTTTCTGTTATAGAGTTGGAATATAATTGAAAGACTCTGCAACTGGTTTTTAGGTATTTATGAGCTGTTCCGCAGCAATTGAAGCTATTGAAGAGATCGACAGTGGCAACGGTTGGTGAATTTCGAGAATTTCTGTTTTACTAAATTTTTCATTATTGCTGAGGAAAAAAGTGATAAAACCGTAGTGGCGTTCCAGAACCAGCGGAATGGAAGAGGTTCAATTCCAAGGAACTAGGAATTAGCAGTTCGATGATCGCAAGGCCTACTAGAGTTGTTCTTAATGGTCTCAAAAGTAAAGGTACTGTAATTCACAGTTGATTATAATTTGCTGCTTTTATGTTTTACCTTATGTTTGTTTGGATTATTAAGTTGTAATAACTGTAGAAGTTTGCAGTACTTGTTTTAGCAATGGAAATCAATTGCCTTGTTAGCTATTGGGAAAGCTTAATGAATGAGACTAGTCTCCAGTGCTCATGCTACTCTGCTTTGTCCTTTGCTGCTATCAACATCAATGCAAAGAGCAAAAGCAAACATTAACTTCATCCTTGATAATATAGTTAATTCTTTTATGAGTACCTGACATCTATTTGATTAGCCAGCTGCCAGCATCAGCTAACTTTCCTTTCCCATGTAATTGTTTTGTGGTGAAGAGAGTTTAAGCTTTGCCTGAGAGTTTCTTAAGGGCGTTATTATTTATTCCTTATTTATGGTCACGTACCCGAGGCTATGTTGCTCGGACTCTTCAATATTTTGTCAGATGTGTGTTTGATCCTCCATAAGTAGTGTATTTTATGAGGATCCAACATGGGTGCAGCAACATTTGGAGAGTCCGAGGAACATAGACCAGAGGTCCATGCTTCTTTTAAGAGAAATGCAATGTATGTGGGATCTGTCATTTGGTACGTGGCTTCTTCTAATGTTCATTTCTTATGATCTGCTTTAGGTGTCATATGTGATGTGATTGATTTCCATTTTTTATTAAAAACTTCCCTGTTTCCTGATTTACCGTGTGTAGAAATGGATCATCTAATTCTCAAAAAAGAAAATAAGAAATGGATCTTCTGACATCTAGCCTATGCATCCCTTCTGATCTAGGGAATGAGTGACGCTAGGTCGGAGTTGGGTCAACCAACTGGTTGCTCCTGTAGTTGAAGTATCTGACCCTTTTTCATAGCCTAGTTATTGATGAGAGATGCCTAACTTCGCAGGAGTGGAACCCCCACTTACCGTAAAATAAATCCACTACCTACACACCAAAATGGGGAATTTTCTATTCGTCCCCAAAGGAAATGTCTCTATATTCTTTGACAAAAAAACTTGTTTGAAGATCCAAATTTCCAAACTCCTTCACAGTAATAACATGATGAACAAATCCCGGAGCAGCTGTGGAGCAATAAAAAGCAGAGAGTAACTGCAATACTGAGACCTAAAGTTTACCTGAAGACAGCTACCAAATACTTGATGTAACATTTTCTTAACAAAAAATTGATGTAATATTCCATGTCTGGATATATGTAATTGCTTCTTGGTCTTTCAATTCTCTTAAGATGGTTCTTAGCCCAATCATCTAGAGCTAGTATTGAATATATTGAACTTAATGGATAGCTATCGTGGTATCACGTGCAGCTGATGATGGATAACTATTAGATATTGTTTTTTTGGTGAAGTTTTTCTATTTACATGATAAATTGTTATCTAATGCTTTAGTGGTATGGGGCTGTGAGTATTCTCTTTTCCTGTATCACCAGTTCAATGTCTTCTCTGAATTCTGATATCCTGAGAAATTTCTTTCCATCTATCATGTAGGATTTGAAGTTTACCTTGTGGGGGGCTGTGTTCGGGATCTTCTTTTAAAACGAACACCAAAAGATTTTGACATTATAACTACAGCTGAACTTAAAGAGGTTAGTCTTGGGTCCGAACTGTATACTGGTTGTCTTCTGCATATATTTCAGGTCATGCTAGATGATGTTTGAAGATCATCTTCAATGAGATGTAATAGTAGATTAGTTACATTGCAGATATCATGACTGCTTTCTGTCAGTTTCCAGGGTTGAAATAATAACCTTTTCATAGAAACATAGGAGGAGTTAAATGGCTAAAATCCTACCTCAACAACTTCAGCGTCCCTTCCTATTATGTGTTGTCCTCTCTTCTTAGTCGTGAATCTGATACATGTTATGTAGTTTATTTAATTAATTTGTTTACTATTATCTCTGGAACCATTCCTTCCCTTCTGTCACTCGAAGTGAAACCTTAGCTCAGCAATTGGAGGGATTTATACATACAAGTCGCTGAAGTCAATGGACATTTGTTCCCCCACTGCAAGGTAGCTACCAACCTATGGAACATGTTTTTTTGCATCCTTGGTGTATGCTGGGCAACTCCACAGACCACTAAGGGTATGCTAGACAGCTGGAAGGAGATAGGAAGAAGACATTCTACTGAAGACTGGTGGGAGTTAATACCAGCTTGCATTTGGTGGACTCTATGGAAAGAAATGAATGCTAGATGTTTTGAGGACAAGAGTAACAACATCGAGAAGATAGGATGAATAGCCTTAGTCTTTTATACTTTTGGTGTAAACTGGATATGAGGGGGGATA